TTAGTGAACTGGAATATAGTTTGGTAGGAAATATCCATATTGAAGCATGAAGGAGAAATGAGGATAGAACATACAAAAAAGTATGTGAGAGATACAGGAAGCAGCAAAAAATCCAGTATACATGTAAAGAAGTCACAGAAAGATAGGAGGAAGAGAATAGAGCTGAAGCAATATTTGAAGCAATTATGACTTAGAAATTTCCAGACTTCAAGCCACAGATCCAAGAAATGCTATGAACTCCCATTAAGACAAATACAGAAGAGCTCAGACCCCTCCAGACATGCTACGGTATGAGGTCTAAAATAGTATTTCACAAAAATGAAGTATACCCAAACCGAATCTCTTCACTATGGAGCCTGTGAGTGAGGATGAGGAAGAAAAAGCAGGAAGCACAGAGCAGGGATATAGCAAAGCTGCTAATGGGGGGGAATTGGAGGGAATGGCTGTAGCCTCAGAGGTTCATTGATCCCCTCAAACGTCTCTTGAAGACCTATCACTCAAGATAACACAGAAAAATGACTAAGAGTTTAACCTCCCTTTTATTATGGAAAAAATAACCGCAGTAATTCCTACTTAGAACTATTTATTGTTCTAAGAAAAGCCAACTCTGTTGAGACAGTAAAGAGGTTTGGTTTATCTAAATGAAAAGTCTGGCAGCAAGAAGAACTATAAGCATGGTTGGATGTAGTCATTTAAACATTAAAATCCAAGATTTGGTTTCTTTCTGGCTCTCTGCTCTGCTGTACATGGTGCTGGCATCATCTTTAGGCTCTACCTGGTGGTGCCCCAACTACTCCAGGCACTTCTTCTGCGGTAACAAAATAGCTATGACAGCTATGTTCATCGCATGTTCACAGCACTCTCTTATGGACCATCCTTCCCAGAGGAATTTCGCTAGCTGAAAAACCGTAGTGGATGTCTCCACTAGCCTCAGACACTTAGGTTGGATTTTTATGTCCACCTTTGAATCAAGACTGTGATTAGGATAACCATGATAGTCTTCAACTAACCAGAGGCCAAGCTTGGAGTTGGAACTGGGGGTCATTCTTACCAAACCACAGCACCAGGATGGGGGAAGAGTGGTGCCCACCAACCAAAATATTGTTGCTATCAGTAGAAGGGGATAATGAAGAGAACAATCACCAGAGAAGAAATGAATGATGGAAGCCAAAATAATAATAGTAATAATAATAATAAATTCCAGTCACCTGCATGACCCATGAGGACCTTCAGTTCTGTTAATACTTAACCCACTTCTCTTCCCTTTCCATCCCACATCAACAAGACTCCCCTCTCAGCTATTGCCTGAATGCACCAAACATTCCTCCCTCCCTTGTGACCTTTTGTCTTTATGATAGCTTTCTCCTGAAATGCTCTTTCTGCAGACATTTGCATACCTTTGTCCCTTGTTTCTCAGGACTATTTGAATGTCCCTTTAAGAGGCCTTTGGTGAATTCGCTCCCTAAAATAGCAACTGCCAAGACTTTCCAACCCCATAATTGGCTGCAGTTGTGTTTCTAGCACTTATCACTACTTGACATTATTTTACATATCTATCTGCGTGCCCTCACCACTGGAATGCGCACTCCATGAGAAGATTCTGTCCAGTTCATTGTTGTACCACAGTAAGCATTTAACAATGGCTGTTGAATGAGTGAATGCATTAGAATCCTAGACTTAACGCTACCTCTATTGTCTTAAGCAAGAAACTGAACCTTGTGTTGCCTCAGTCTCCTTGGTAAGATGGAGACAATTTCTACCTTGCAGGGTTATTCTTGAGATTAAGAAAACACGTGAGAAATGTCTGGCATATATTGAGATATCTGACATATATTAGTTTCCTTCTCACAAAAGTTCATTCACTAGGTCCAATGAGGCCAGAAGTCTTTATTTACATCAGTTGTTTTCTCCTGTGGCTTCACTTTAGAATTACCTAGAGAATTCTTTAGAAGTTCTGAGCTGGGTTCTCACCCCTTGAGATTCTGATTTAATTGGTCTGGTGTGCCGTCCAGACACTGGTAATTTTTAAAGCTCCCCAGGTGGTAGCATATTAGCAGCCAACACTGAAGACCACGATTTCAAGTCATTAGTGGAGGGGGGTGGGGGCAGGGAGGGCTGGCTGTGTGACTATCAGAATCCACTGGAAGCCCTGTAAAACCTGGCCCTTCCAACACCTGGAAATCTCTAGAAGCCAGCTTGGCTTATTTCCTCCAGTACAAATCATCAACTGGCAGACTAGACAGATGGTTATTATTTATCCTTCCTGCTGTGTTAAAAAAAAAAAATTAGTTCTGCCTCGGGTTTCTCAAACCATTTTTACATGTGCAAACCATTACCTCTTTATATGCTCATAGGTATTAGAAGGGAGAAAGGGAAACTTGAGAGAGACCAGGGAGACTAGCCTGTATTTTCTTCTAATGTAACTGAGAAGTGCAGACACCAAAGAGAAACTGGCCTGGAACAAAGACTAGGTTCTAGCTCTTATACTAAAAGGGATAATGTACATGAACAGTGCCCAGAAAATAAACAGTGCCCACATCCTAATTAATGCTAAATCTCATTTTCTAGGGAAATGAGATTTAAGATCATATAATAATGATAACACAATAACAAATAATAATACCTTGCATGGAGCATCTTCCCCGTGTTAAGTATTTTCTCTCAGTAACTTTTTTCTTTTGAATCGCCACAATATTAATGCAGACCGCTTGGTGTCATGTCCTTTCCACAACTGACAACGTCAGGATCTGAAAGCTTGCGGTTGGTTAAGGGAAGGACCAGGTTTAGCACTCAGGTCTGACACCAAAGTTTATCTTGCCGCCCTTATGCTACACACTGCTTCCAGAATCCTTTTAACTCTCAAACTTGATCATTCAGAGTAATTGGAACCTTTTCTCACCGGCAGAAAGCTTTTCTTCCACATACTGGGTGAAATAAGCAGGGGCTAGGTGATGATGGGTTCCCATGGCAAATTTTCAGCTGATTAAATCGGATCTGCCTCAAAGGGGCTGCTTGAACTGGCTATCATGATTCTCATTAAGCATCTATTAAGTCTTACTCTAGCATCTGGGTTAGGTACAGGGGAATAAAGAAATGAAGAGAAGAAATTCCTCCTCCCGTAGGACCTGAAAAGGAATTAGAGGAATAGAACTATATATTCAGTGGCTTTATTTCCTAGGCTCCAAATCAGGGCACCTGGTCCTTCATTTAGTCTAACTGAGTACTTATTCTAATGCTGGGTAATGAAGCTTCAGATATCATGAAGTCACCTTACTTTCATCAAGAGACTGAGGGAGAAGATGCGTCATGGCTCACAGGTACAATATTAAAGGTGTAACAAAAGGCTTTTTCATCTGAAATGTAAGTTAATTTACATGAGCATCCCTATGTAGGTGCTGCTATTATTAGTTAACATTTATTGAGCACTAGCTGTGTGCCAGGAGTTTGCTTTACAGTTTCTTTTCTTTTCCTTTTATTTTTAAATATGAAACTTATTGTCAAATTGGTTTCCATACAACAGCCAGTGCTCATCCCAACAGGTGCCCTCCTCGATGCCCATCGCCCACCCTCCCTCCCTCCCACCCCCCATCAACCCTCAGTTTGTTCTCAGTTTTTAAGAGACTTTACAGTTTCTAGTCCGTTTAATCTTCACACTAAACTCTGGGCAGCACTATCCAGCTTTTACAGAAGTGGGGACTGAGACACAGTGGTGACAAGGAACCTGCCCAGGGCCACGCAGCTGATAGAGACAGGAGCCGGGACTCCAACCCAAGGCCAGAGCCTCCACTCTCCACCTTTCTGCGCAATGTATTGATTGAACCATTTTTGTTGAAAGTAGTGAGACCCCACTCAGGAACAACAGGTATTTGTTAATGGCATATTTGAACAACGCACTAAACATCTAAGCTGAAGTCCCCAGAAATCTGTACTGTGTGGTCATCGCATGGATTTGTGAAACAAATGAGTGAGTCACCCAGTGTGATGGAAGCGGCTAGTGATGAATGGATGATACACAACAATAAGCCTAAGAGGATTTCAGCAGAAGAGCCCCATGTCTTTTTCCTGCATCCTAAGGAAATTTCTTCTATTCGTGAAGGCAGCAGCCTGAGCAAGTAGTATCTGGGCAGTGGAACCCCCTGGGTTAGGAATGATGTCCAAACCTCTTCCTGTACAGCACTTCTGAACACTGAAAGGAGCAAGGAAGGCAAAGTTTTTACCGGAGCCTTGAGGCACACACCTGCGTGGAGAGAGGGGCAGAAGTTCCTGCTTCTCTGTAAAGAGGCAGAACCATGGAAGGAGGGGCCTTGCCACTCTCCAAGCTGCAAAAGCCCTCCTGATTCAAGGCGGCGCTATGGGCTGTTGTCTCTGCTTATCTGAAGGAATCTGCCCAGCATCACCACCAGCATCACTTTTACCTGGAAACTCCTATTCACCCCTCAGGTCCCCAGTTTACGTGTACTTTCCTCCAAAGAGCCTTCTCATATCCTCCACCGCTCTCACCACTACCTCAATATATGTTCAAATATTTTCACATTTTCCTTTGTTGTGTTTCTGGTAGTTTGTAACCGAATAATAACTTGGAGCGTCTGCTTCCCTTTTGTGAGCTCCATCAAGGCAGCTACCGGATCTCTTTTTTTTTTTTTTTTAACGTTTATTTATTTTCGAGACAGAGAGAGACAGAGCATGAATGGGGGAGGGTCAGAGAGAGGGAGACACAGAATCTGAAACAGGCTCCAGGCTCTGAGCTGTCAGCACAGAGCCCAACGCGGGGCTTGAACTCACGGACCGCGAGATCATGACCTGAGCCGAAGTCGGTGGCTTAACAGACTGAGCCACCCAGGCGCCCCTGGATCTCTTTTATCTACCAGTAGATCCCTAGCACCCAACACAGTGCCAACCCCATAACAGAGCTTCAACATTCTCTTTGCCTCTGTAGGAATGTGTATGTACTAAAATGAAGAGGCCAAACTAAACCCTTTGGTTTTTTCTTTCTTGTCCAGGAAAGAAAGCAAAAGAAACCTCTGCCACTACCATGCAGGCTGAAGCTGCAAAGATATCTCAAGGCAGAACAGAACATATGGTATGCACCTGGCTACCCAGAGCTTGGGGAAGGGCTTCAACGATCCTTGGCCCTCTATTCTCTGATGCTGGGTGGGGCCCTCCCTTCTGGGTTTTTGATTTCCACCCAACACCTTGATGTCAGGCTATCTTTGACTTTGAGACTCTCTTCCAACAGAGGAGGGAGGAAGACCTCTGAGAGCGTGGGTTGGTTCCTGTCCCAGCTGGTACGCACACAGATCTCTCTCAACACGAGGTGAAGGGCCTGCCATCTGCCCCCAAGAAACTGGACTTGTAGCATGGATACAGGTGTCCTTCCAAAGCCTGTGACCAATCCACCAACTGCCATCAAAATAAAAGATGGTTATGAGACCTATTTTAACATCTTAAGTCCAGCTTCCAGAAACTAAGGGTGACCTTTTCCCCAGACATCACATTTTAAAATGTAATGGGCTCTTTGATTTGAAAAAAAAAAAAAATCTGGCAAGCAGTTAAAATCCGCTTTAATATTCCCAGCACTTAGCCAAAAGAAGATGCAGACAGAATTGAAAAACAGCCTGAGTTTTTCTGTTGTTGTTGTTTTTTAAATGCCCGGATTAGAACATAATTCATCTTAAAATGACGGGAGGCCTCTTCATGCACTTCACACTTTGAAATATTTTAGAAAATAGTATCCATTTTGGCAAGCCTCTTGCCACGCAAGAAACAACAGCAAATGCTTTTCTCCTTGAGTGTTAAGTCTGTTGTGAATAAGATTATAAAAAATACACTTTGCTCTTTTATTTTGCCTCTTGTTTGAGGATTTTGCTGCATTTCTGCAATAACTGATTCTTCTCACATTCCTGTATAAGCAGCATTCACTGCCCCCATTTTTAGGGAGTGAAATTGAAGCAGAAGTTTGGTAAAGCAAATTTCCTATTTTCCCAGAGAAAATCGTTTCTTCATCCCCTTACTCATTCAGTAAACATGTCTTTAGAACCAAGTATGTGCCAAGCCACTAACAAGACCTTGACGATCCACAAATGACTACCTCACAGACCTGGTCTCTAGAACTCTGGTAGAAGAGAGAGACACTGTAACAATCACAATATCCTGGAATAAGTGCTGGGATGGATAAAGGGGCTACAAAGAATCACCCCTCAATCCACCTGGAGCTTTGGGGATGGCTTCCCACAAGAAGTGAAATATGTGTTGGGTCTTGAAGGATGTGTAGAAGTCCAACCAATCAAGGCATGAGTGGTAAGAAGGGCTTTTACAACAGAGAGAATAGTATGTATAAAACATAAAGGCATTATTTTTTTTCTGGATTTATGTGGCTGGAAAAAGATGAGAGAAAAAGATGCATACATAGGGCCGAAAGAAAATAAACAAGGACAAGAACTTGGATGGCCTTATGTGCCAAGTAAGGAATTTGGAATTGATCCTGATAACGTGGGACTAAAACAGTATAGGATGTGTTACTTACTTGTTGGGTTGAGCCTAATTCGGGTCCATACAAATCCCCCCTTTCCCTGCCTTTAGTGGTCAAAGAGACGGTTGAACTATCTGAAGAAATACAAAGTTATTTTAAACCAGTTTCTCAGATCCAATGACCTCTTTGAATTCTCTACAATCATCCACCAAACCCTATGCATGTGTGCCTTTAGCTGGGTAGATTATCTAAAGTGTTCATCAGATTTCTAAAGTGGTCCAAGGCTCTAAAAAGTAGAGTCCTGTTTATTTACTTCATGAAAACTTTCAGCTGTTTCTTAACACTGATTTTATCGGGCAGTGGCTACCGCTTAGCCCTCTGCCATCTTCCTCCTGCGAGGCGCCAGCCTGGATTCCTGCGGTCCCCTCTCCCCTTTCATCCCTCACCCCCTTCCTCTCCCTGGCTCCACCAGGCACTCAGAGCTTTCTGAAGAGAAATGAGCACCGGTCAGAAAAATACATACATATATATAT